ATTTTTCTAGGGAATTCTTTATAAAAGCAAATTAGCATAGCTGACACTCTTCTCAGATTTATTCTATGAAATGAAAATACTGTTGGTACATTTCCAAGTCTTAACTTCTCCTTTTCACTTTGTGGCTGTAAAATGAATCTTTCCTGGCACAGATCAAGAAAGGGTAAGCAACAGAACATGGTATTTGGTAAATATTTACGTTAGTAGTATCTCTCTTATTTGTATAGTATGATTAAACTGAGAGGCCCTGAAAGGGAACACAGTACTTTATGGATGGAAACATGCTCATCTGTCTAATGCATTAGGTGTGGAATGAGGTCTCTAAGAAAAATGTTCTCAAAGACAAGGAATTACATTACGTGCTCTACTAGGTATGTTGTGCCGAACCACAGTCTGCAAAAGATAATTGTAGTCGGTTTTGAATTTGTTACACTGGGTCGTAATTTTAAATAATTTTCCATTTTAAACAATATTACATATAACACTTTAAAATAAAGGAGGAAGAAGAAAGCAAAACAGAACAAAACCTACCTCTCCCAACACCTGTTTATGGACTGAGATGGCAAGTTTTCTCTGCCTCGCCCTCTCCGCTTTCCCCTAACTTTCCTCACCACCCATGCCAGCGCTTGGCATCCTATTCACTCTTTTCACACTCAGGCCATAGTAGAAAATTTAGACTATTGACAGGGGAGGCAATGTGGAGCCAGGTTCCCTGAGTTCAAATTCTAGTCTTAACTATACGATTTTAGCAAAGTACCTAATTTTTCTGAGTTTCAGTTTTCTTATCTATAAAATTAAAGTAGTGGAAAGCCATCTGAACATGTGCAAGTGCAAGTGTATTTATGTTTCTCATTGAGGTAACCTACAAGTAACTTAACCTGATGAGAGGGTCATTATTGACCCTTGCATAGCGCGTGGTCAGTAAAAGCAAATCACTAACAGTTAAACATTTGTATTATTATTTCTGCTGAGAAATATCATAGACTTATCCTCTTCCATCTTTTGGCTATGAAACATGTACTTATTAAGGAAGACATATAAAATGTTTTTATTTTTGACTTATAAGGTAATGATAAATATCTAGATAAAAATTGTAAAGCAAATCCAGATGTTTTCTACTATCTTATAGACAAAGCACCAACTTTTTATAGCTTTTTATAGCTTTTGTTTCATTTGTCATGTTCCTGTCGTGTGTGTATGTGTGTGTGTGTGTGTGTGTGTGTGTGTGTGTAGGAAATCAATGCATTTTTATTCATGAGGACGCTCGTGGAACTTAACACATTATTTCTAACTCTTAGCAGCCATCTCGAGAAATCAAATTCAGTAGCTCTATTTTACACTTTAGAAAACTAAAGCTATATAACAGGTCTAAAAAAAACAAAACAAAAACAAAAACAAAAAAAACAGGGGTAAGCTTTGGAGCCACACAGTTGAAACCCAGGTTGTCTTTCTTCAGAGTCTGTGTTCTGTCCTACTGTGACATGTAACTTTTGAATGTAGGACCAGTGGTTGATAAATTCTCTGATAGAGATACATTATTGTTAATACTAACAGTTTTTATGTGTGTCCTAATTTATACTTATTAGTGATGGTGTATTTTATTTTCACAAATAAGAATATTTTTAGGTGTTAGAATTTTTACTTATATAACGATGCACAATTACGTCAATTATAAAAATACCTAAGTAGACACGATAGAAGCGAATAAATTGTTGGCCTTCATAATGCACCTAATGCTCCTTAATCAGCAGATCTAAGCTGTGAAATAGGTGTACTCTTGCACAATCTTTGTTTGATTTAATAGTCCTATAAAAAGTGGAGAAAGAGATACCCTTGGTGGCAAGGAAAATGCCACCATATTTAACATGGTTCTTGAGAGAAAAATATTCCCTGCTGTTCAGATAAATGTAAAAGGTCAGTGAAACACAATCGCAGTGGTTGATTCTGTGTGTTGACCTGAGCATGTTGCTTTGAAGGAATGCTAATGGCCTCTATCATAATGCTTTTGCTTATTTGGATACCATTAAAAGCTCCACTTGACAAGCATAATGATGAACTGCACTTTTCCCACTCAGGCAGCACATGTTTGGATGATAGCTCTGTTAAGTTGAAGATTAATTTATTTTCCAAGGACCATTTTTTTTTTATCTTTGTCTGCATACCCATGTAGCTTCTTAAAATTCAGACAACTTATTGTTGATGAGGTGATACATCCCAAGATTGGACCTCGGAAGGTACAGGGTATGATGACACCTCTGTTTTATCAGCATAAAACCTCTTTGGCTCCACAGGATGAATTTTCTGTTTGTATTCTAATATATTTGATTCCATTGAATGAATTATTTTTGTGCTCAGAAATATGCATGATGATCCACCTAATCTTATTTTATTAAAAAACAGTTAGGACCTCCCTGGTGTCTAGGTGTGAATTCTCAGTGCTGTGATCCCAATGGCCTGAGTTCAATCCCCCCGGCCAGGAAGCTGACCCATATGGCGCAGCAGACCTCTCCTGTCTCACCCCCAGCCCCCCTTAGCAGTGTATTTCAGTAAATCCACCTGTCCTGCTCCCCATTCTGTCTCTGGTGAATCCACTCACCCCCTGTACCTCTGGCCTTTTGCGTAAAAATAAATAAAATCTTAAAAAAATTAAATTCAAATAGAAAAACTATGAATAAATATCTCTAGCCCTAAGTTAAATGTTCATTGTTGGATATGGTTCTGTCCTTGATTTATTAACAGATCTCATAAGTTTTTTAATAGGTGGCTTGCTTAATGGAGTAATTAAAGATAATGTAAAGTAGAGAATAAAAGCTGGCTTGTGTGAACCCACAAATGATAATGATTTTATGCAACATCAAATCAAACAAATATATTTGATAATTAGTTATTTTTCAAGATTCTTCAAAATAAAAGATATTTTCTTTCCCATTGCTTTTATTGCTGCCTTATAGTCTTGGAAATACTGAGTGTATTTAATTTTTTCAATAAATTAGTGTGTTCTTCCAAAATAAAATGAGATTGACTTGTCTGACAAAGCCTCCTATAAGGTATAACTTGTAACAAAAAAAAAGATGAACTTTCCCAGAACAAAACTACCTAATCTCTTAATATTTCAAGAGCATCGTTGCTTGGGCACTTAATGGCTTTTTTTTTTTTGTCATTACTTTCAAAAGTACCATTTAAAATGTAATGCAATAGGAGATTTAAACCCTAAACCTATATTAGTCAACATATTAATTATTATTCAAGACCGTAGCAATAATTAGTGAGAAGCTGTTAGAGATAAATTGAATTGTACTTCATACCCATTTAGAAATGAGCCTTGCTAAATGTGTTCACATTCTTTGAAGGGCTGCTTACCTGGCTTTGACCTCTGTGGACTCAGTCTTGATTTTAATAGTCCAAGAGGGATCACCTTGTTAGAAAACAGCTAGAATAGTATCTTAAAGTATTCTTAAATTTGTGTGATCATGAGATATGTTTCACGGAGAACTATTAAATTCAAATTATAAAGTAAAATCTAAACATATTAGTTCCCTTAGGGTCTCTGCAGGAAATAGGTGGCTTGCTTAATGGAGTAATTAAAGATAATGTAAAGCAGAGAATAAAAGCAGGCTTACATGAACCCACAAATGATAATGAAACATCCAGAGATTAAGAGCAGGAACCTATTAATACCCTTCAGGCTGAAGATAGTATGTGCTACTGGAAGGTAACAAGAGCTCAGCTATAGTTCTGGAAAATATCTGTCTGACCTCTCATTCCCTTGTTCTTTCATTTCTCAGCGGGGCTTCCCACTGACCAAATCCAACCAGAAGCCTGACTAGTGCAGTCTGCAGAGGCCCATACCCTTGCTGAGAGGTTGGTGGGTGTCTCTGGAAGGACAGAAGGAAAACAGTATTTTACCATGATCATAGTTGTATGAGATATAAACCTTCTCACTAAAGAACTAGTGCTTTTTTCCTGCAGGATTTCTCTTCTAGGGTCTGAAATTTCTCTTCTAGGTTTTTATTCAGTTCTTGTCCCACATCATGCTGTGCTTGAGTATAATGTAATCCTAACAGCAGGGCTTTTTTTTTTTTTAATGTTTTTTCTTTCTTTTGTTTTGAAGTTTTTGGGTTTTTTTTTAAAGATATATTTATTTATGCATTTAAGAACTGGGTACAGGCCAGATGTGCAGAGGGTGAGAGACAGAGTGGGGAATAGAGCAGGCAGATGGACTGAAATACACTGCCGAGGATAGCAGCAGGCGACACAGGAGAGGTCTGCTGTGCCATGTGGGCAGTTCCCCAGTGGGGGATAGAACTTGTGCTGCAGTGGCTGTGGACAGCTTCATAGGTTGTGTCTTAATCCCTTATGCTACCAGGGAGGCCCTTGTTCTGAAGTTTTCTTAGTACCAATTATTGAATGATTGATTGCAATCCAGGATTTCTACCTTTGACATGATTCTTAATACCCTGACTGCATAATTTCCCAGATACAATAGGATGACTTTCATCAGCTCATTTAGCTGTACAGCCCTTTCATTAATCTGATCACCTTGCCTGCAGCTCCTTCTTACATCCACCTTGGCAATGGGAAGGGATTTTACATTTTATTTTAATGGGAGAAGTCACTTTCTCATTGGGGTCAAACTCCATTCACAATGCCAAATAATTATTTTTAATGTATATCAGTTTCAACATCTGTCTCACCCCATTCTTTATTTTATTCTAATTTCTTTAACCATAGTCTTACTTTCCTTTTTTTCCCGTATATTTATAATGTTGCCAATTAAATCTTGACATTATGGCGCATAATACGTTGTGTGTGCAAGAGGCATGAGATGCATGTGCAGTTGTCCTTTAGATGAACAAGTAAATTAAAAATCAGGGCTGACTTTACAGTTTGTGATTGATTTACTTCTCCCAAGTAGAATTTTCTTAAAGGTGGTGGCATTTTTTTTTTTTTTTCACAAGTTACGTGGTTTTAACTCTTGCCTCCTTTTTCACTCCACTCAGATTCGAAGCCAGAGCAAAGCCTCCGGGTCTGGGCTCTGTGAAGGGGATGAAGTGGTTTCCATCAATGGCAACCCTTGTGCAGACCTCACCTACCCTGAAGTCATCAAACTCATGGAGAGTGTAACGGACTCTCTACAGATGCTTGTCAAAAGGTACGGAAGATTGACTGGAATACATCTTTCCTCTTGAATCTTGAAGCTACATGGAAACACAGTTTCTGTTATATATATATAATTTGTCATGGATGAAGAAAGACAAAGATTGTCTTTAAAATCTGAAATCTTGGGCTTTATAGCCTTAGTTCTTGGAACACTCAATATCTTTTTTTTTTTTTAAAGATTTATTTATTTAGGGCCTCTCCGGTGGCGCAGCAGTTGAGCGCTGGGTTGCGAAGCTACCCGCAGCCTCTGCAGCGCCGGTTCGATCCCCGGCTGCTCCCCGGCCACCGGAGGAGGGTCCCACATGGCCACAGACCTCTTCCGCCACCCGCTGCTCCCCTCAGCAGTGTACTTTGGTCCTTCTGCCTGCTCTGCTCCCCGCTCTGGCTCTGGTGAATTCTCTCACCCTCCCGCGCTTCTGACTGTACCCAGTGCTTGTATAAATAAAAATAAAAATAAATAAATCTTAAAAAAAAAGATTATTTATTTATACAAGCACTGGGTACAGTCAGAAGCACGGGAGGGTGAGAGAATGCACCAGAGCCAGAGCGGGGAACAGAACAGTCAGACTGACAAAATACACTGCTGAGGGGAGCAGCAGACACAACAGGAGAGGTCTGCGCGCCATGTGGGACCCTCGCCGGTGGCCGGGGAGCAGCCGGGGATTGAACCATAGCTGCAGAGGCTGCCGGCAGCTTTGCAGTCCAACGCTCAACCACTGCACCACCAGCGGAGGCCCAGTATCTTTTTTTTTTTTTAAGATTTATTTATTTACACAAGAACTGGGGTAAGGTCAGAGGCGTGAGAGGGTGAGAAGATTCACTAGAGACAGAGCAGGGAGCAGAACAGGCAGACGGACTGAAATACACTGCTAAGGGGAGCAGCAGGCGAGACAGGAGAGGTCTGCCACGCCATGTGGGAATATCCCTGGTCGTCCGAGAATCAAACCTAAGCTGCAGAGGCTGCAGACAGCTTCACAGTGCTGCGCTCAACCCGCTGCGCCACCAGGGAGGCCCGGAAAATTCCATATCTTGAAGACAATTTAACACTTATAGATCAAGATTTTTGTGGTGGGTCAGAATCATCAAATTATAATTCTGAAGTTCACAGATGAATTAAACATGTTTAAATATTAAACCATTCCATTGTACAATTTTTTTTTAATAGAAAGAGGATGTGTAGGATAAGGGAAAGAACCAAAAATATCCTTTAAAGCTGCCAGATTTCTGGGTCTCTCCAGTGGTGCAGCAGGTTGAGTGCAGCACTGTGAAGCTGTCCACAGCCTCTGCAGCACGGGTTCGATTCCTGGCCAGCCAGCGAGATTCCCACATGGTACGGCAGACTTCTCCTATCTCGCCCACTGCTCCCCTCAGCATTGTATTTCAGACGGTTTGCCTGTTCTGTTCCCCGCTCTGTCTCTGGTGAATCCTCTCACCCTCTTGCACATCTGGCCTGTACCCCACTTCTTGTATAAAAATAAATAAATCTTAAAAAAAAATAAAGCTGCCAGATTTCTGCTTGTCAGAAATCAATGTTTGGGTGAGCAAAAGCATTTGGTTAAAATGGAGGTTTGTCCTATTACTGCAGTTCACTCACCAATTTGATCTCTTCACATGCCACCATCTCCACATCATTCCTTAAGTCAACTGTAAGCATGAAAAAGATAATGGGAGAAGATAACAAAAAGCTATCGTATCAACATTTTTACAGTATGCAAATCACAGTACAAGCCTTACTACCTTTGCAAGGGAGGCCCTAACTTGACCCTTGAATTATGATAAATCCCAGTAGCAAAGCTCTGGCTTCCTTTACTGCAGCCTTCAGGAAGAGGTAGAAGTTGTGTTATACAGAATCTCACAGCCCTCTAGGCTTTAGCTTAAATCTTCAGAAACTGCTACAGCTTTATCCCTCTGATAATCACCCAATATGATTCTGTTTCTCTACAAACGTGAAATCTATGGCCAAAATTTTGTGAAAATAAGAGGAATCCAGCATGATTCTTAAAATCGCCCATCTAGACACTCACCCATCAAATCCAGTGTTAAAGCCCTTAGGCTTTAGGATCCTACCTATTCCTCAAACTGCTCCTGATAAGGAAGGCTGCCACGTGTGGCCACGGTGCCCTTATCAGGCATCGATCTCTCAGATATTTGAAGATTGTATTTTCTGTGAAGCTTTCATCATATCCAAAATGGGGGAAAATCTTTTCCAACATACTCCCTTTTTAGTGTCTTTAGGCCAGAGTCTTTGGAACACATTTGTGTTCTGGGACTTCCCCTTCTTGTTTTGATTGCCAGACTGTCATTGGAAAATCCTTGGGGTTCAAAGCTGAGTCTTAGGTACAGATTCATTTTCAAAAAGGAGTGACCAGTTTTCTGCTTTATTTATTCATTTTTCACTAATTCTTTCTTTTCTCTATTTTTTATAATTGGATTCATGAGTATTGTTTCTCTTGATTATTTTTACATTTTACAAAAATACATAATTATTTGATGAGATAAAGCATGACATCTTGAATTAAAATTAGTCCAAATGCAGTCATCATCACCACCATCACTCTAGATACCTGGACATCGCTACCTGGAATTAGATATTAGATCTCAGGGCCACCCTGGTGGCACAAGGGGTTAAGCACTGCACCATGAAGCAGTCCGCAGCCTCTGCAGCATGAGTTCCATCCCCGGCCGGCCAGGGAGCAACCACATGGAGCAGCAGACCTCTCCTGTCTCGCCCACTGCTCCCCTCAGCAGTGTATTTCAGTCAATCTGCCTGTTCTGTTCCCCACTCTGTCTCTGGTGAATCATTTCACCCCCGCATCTCTGGCCTGTGCCTCAGCTCTTGTATGCATAAATAAATAAATCTTTAAAAAAAAGATATTAGATCTCACTCAGCTATCTGTCACCTGCTACAAGGGAAGAGTGGATTATTTCTTTTCTTATGGGTTATTGCCCAGAGAGATAGCTGGGTCAGACTAGCTTAAAAGACCCCTTGAACAGTAAGTCTCTGTTGTCTTATATTTTATTAAAATGTTAAGATAACAAAAAATAAGATATTAAGGTAATTATGACATAAATTGTGGAATTGAGTACCTACATAGACTGAATGGAACTGAATATTTTCAAGTATAAAGCTTCAATCTCTACACTTTTTATGGTTTTTGTTGATACATAACTGTTTTATCTGGGCTACCAATAAATGTTAACATTTATCTGACCCATTCGCCTGTACTGCAGCCTGTAAGGCTGGAATGAATTCAAGCTACTCTCTTCTCAGCTTTGTAACTGATTGCTAACATAATTCAAAGTGATTTAATCTACTTCCATCCTGAGGCCTTCCTAACTTAAAACTCTCTGACCTTTTGGTACCCTCAAATTCAGTTACATAGAGTATATTCATCAATTTCTATAAAAGAAAGATCTAATTGGCAGTCATCATGTTTTTAAAATACTGTTTTAATATTTTTGTATTACCAGGGAGCTTTATAGATTACTTGCATAGAGATAATTGCGTTTCATCTCATTGTTTGTTTTTGTTTATGGTTTACTTTGCTAAATGCAGTCAAAAGCAAATTCAGGAGTATTTATTTTGAACATTGGTCTAAAATTCTACTAATACATAAATTCTAACACAGACTCCCCTAGTAGAATACAAGTAGGGGGTCACTACCCTCGAATGATGATCCTGCATTGTTTAGGGTGCATTTTCAAGGAGGCAGAAAGGGGCAGAGAGAGTGATTGCTGTTTCCTAAAAAAAAAAACTTAAAATCTAAGAAATGAAGGCATGTTCTCCAGCTTTCCTGTGAATGAAGTCCTAAAAGAAACTGAAAGTTTTGGAGCTTTAGCATGAATTTGTTTCTCCCCTAAACGGACATTGCTTGTTGCAAGCCCAAATTTGCAGAACCAACCTATAATGGTTAAATCCAAAATCAAGGATTGTGCTGAATAGCTTTGGGCTCCTTAGCTGAGAGAGTAAGGATCCCTTTGACTTCAGAGAGCCTAAAAGGAAATGCTCCAAGAGACAGGTTCAAGTAGGAAAAGGGAGACATCTCCGATTATAAATACTCCATGACTCAATGATTCATTGCAGCATGGAAAGGATTTCACTTTACACAAGCGTTCTGGGCTAGGGTCCACTTATTACAAAACACATGCTCACTGGGGCTTAAAAAACAGCTTCTGTTTCATTCCTTTCAAGAAAGCACAGCCTCTAAAAGTATTTCTTGAATTATCTGCATATTAATATGCCTCAGAAGCTGCTGAGTATGTTTGTATGACTTTATAATGCCCAGACTGAAACTCAGTCAATAAGAGTGAAACTCTTTGTCACTATCACAAACAAGGTTTCTTTAAAATGCCCAAATAATTACAGATAAAAGGTATCCATATAGCTCTAACTTAGCTTTTTTTAAAAAAAAAAAAAAAAGTGAATTTAGGGTGGATTTATCATAATCTTAAATGAGCATTTTTTCTTTGCTTTAAAGAAAAGTTTATTTGGAAGATCTTGAAATAATACAAACATGTTGCCAATTTCTGTTTTAAGATATTTTTTAGTTGACATTTGGGAGGAAATATTTTGACTATCATCGTGTATTAAACATCATGAAAGTGTCAGAGAGTTCTCTGATTTAACTGTCACCCACTCTGATTTAACTGTCTGGGATGATTTTTCTGTGTGCAGACCATCCAGTGGGATTAGTGAGACTGTGATCTCTGAAACAGAACACCAAAACCATGAGCATCTCACCCAGGAGGGATACGTGCAAAGTACCACCCTGCAGATCCGACCAGCCCCACCGAGCCAGTGCAGAGAGTTGTACATCACCCCTGCCCACAGCAGAGCTTCCTTAGCTGAGGACCAAGGAAGTCGCCCCGCTTGCTCAGGAAACAAAAAAGAAGAAATGGGCCTGAGCTGCCATGTAGACCCCCACATGCCCGACTCTCAAAGAGGATGCTTAGCGGAGGAGATTCTCTTAAGGGAGAAGGCAGAAGCTGGACAGCTGGGCCCTGTGATCGAGCTCCAGCTGTCCCTTTCACAGGAGAGGCACCAGCGCCCTAGTGTCCCGGTTGTAGCCCTCCTAGGAGCTGAAAAATCTAAGCCTCCTGCCCCAGACCCTGACTTACAACACGATGGAATTGCCCACCTAAATTCAATCCCTGCCCATGAGCCAGAGGACCCTTCTCTGAAGTCCAGCAAGATAATCCAGCTCTCCAGAGGCACAGGGCTGAGAGTCATCCAGGGGAGTGAAGCAGGAGACGCAGGGCAGCCCCACGTGGAAGTGATCCTCGACTGCTCTGACAGGCAGAAGACAGAAGGGTGCAGGCTGCCGGCAGCAAGGGGGTGTGTGGATTCTCCAGTGGAAGGAGGGCAGTCAGAAGCACCTCCTTCTCTGGTATCCTTTGCAGTCTCATCAGAAGGCACTGAGCAGGGAGAAGATCCACGCTCAGAAAGGGATCACAGCAGACCTCACAAGCACAGAGCACGCCACGCACGTAAGTCCTGCCTGGGGTCATTGCAGGGCTGTTGCAAGGGGCCTGGGAGCTTAGGGTGTTTGCTGCTCCCCCTGCATGGATTTTTTATTCTTGTTCTTAAATAGTTTTCTTATGTCTCTCATTGGTTTTTAAGTAAAATTGTGTTAATGCACAAAGCTGAATTTGTGGAGAACTACAGTTTCTGCATTGGAAGCAACAAGTTTAGACTTTCTAGTTTCTAGTTCTTTGAATTTTCTAGACTGGAATGTCTTTGGTGCCCTTGCTTTTATCCCCCAAAAGGCATAGGAACTGTTCAAAGAAAACATTATTGTCACTGTGCCTTTTGGATTTGTCTCAGAATGTTTGTAATAGTTCATGTTAAAATAGCCCACTAGAGTATCTGGAGTCATGTGGACTCAAGTTTAAATGTCAAAAACGATGGAGTCTGCTGCTGAGAGGTGTCTTTAAAACACAGACTCCACCACTGATATTAAAAGCAGACTCTCGTTTTGAAAAAAGTCATTGTGCAGCCTGATGATGCTTGCAGAAGTGAGTTTGATGGACAAGGGCATGTGGAATACCGAGCAGATACATGATCCTCGCTGTGTTGTAAAGTTTCACTAGACTGCAGAGCTTCATCTACCTTCTAGACACAGAAGTCAGGCTCCCGAGCCATGGGGTAGCCTTTACATGTGTGCAAACATGAAATTCAAGGCTTTTTATGTCATTTTTTTGACCCAGGGGAGTGATTACACACAGGCAAGTAAGAATGGCAGTTAGGTGTTAGGATTTTTGTTGTTTTCTTTTAAGTTATATACACACAAATTTTGGGATTTCATTTGCAGATGTGAAGGCTGACAGGTAAAGGCATTTATTTGCATGTATGTATGTATGATCCACATCAGTAATGAACTGGATTGTTTAAAGAAGAGTGGTAAATGTTGTATACCTGAAATTTAGAGGATGTTATAAACCCAATGTTACTGCAGTAAAAATATATTTAAGAAAAGGTTGAGCAAAAGAAATATGCCAACCTTGCAGATGTCTTTTACAAAAGAAGGCAGTAAGACCCATCCCCAAGTTGCATGTTAAATCTTCTGACCACTGTTACTCCTTTCAGAGCATATTTTTAGCATAACCATTTGTAGCTTATCAGCAAGTGCTGTTAATCATTCTGTATACTTTAAGCATCTGTATTTGTGTTCATATTTATAGCATATTAAACAAGTGTATAAATGCAGCACTCACATACTTTAGATGTTGGCTGTGAAGCCAGCAACAACTGCAACTGTGACTGTCAATTTCATTGTAAGTTGTATAACACTACTCCAAAAGGAGCAACTTTCAGGAATGACTACCCTTTTTGCTGTTTTTCTCTGAAGATAAAACTTGATCTGTAGCTTTGTTATAAAACTATTTCCTCTGATGATATTTTGTTTTTAAAATATCTGTCATTTAAAAAATTTATCATTAAATCTGATGTTTTTCCCCAATGACAAAGGAGCAATTTTCAATCATAAAATATTCAATTTTCCCCCGAAATTTCCATTTCATGATGTTGAGGTACTCAGAACTTCTTTTGTGAATCATGCTCATTATCACTAACTATGTAATATAACTAACAGTATACATTACTTTACCAGCAATTTATTTTTGAAACAATAATAAAAATTTAAATTTAAATAGGCATTTTTTTGTTACTTTAAAACTATCAAATATAATTTTAAATGACTTAATTTCTGTATCAGTTGTTATTCATAGTTAAAAGGGTAGCTAATATAATTTTAAAATTTCTCCAAGATTTATGCTTGCTGCAGCTGAAGTAGTTTTGTACTTCCAAAATAGCAATAAATTAACAAATTTATTTAGACTACTTTGTAGCCAAAATTTCTTATATGTGTCCACAGTGATCTAGTTTTCTGAATTATTATAATTATGGGCTAATTGCTATTTATTATTGATTAATTAAATATTGGTTTATCATCAATTGTTATTCATTCCATTTTTTAAAATTTGTATTATGTAACTGTGAATGCAGGCTGTGGGGGCATCAGAGTAGTGATACCTGATGGAGAGAATCCTAATGTTACCACAATTAAAAGAATAAATTATTATTTTAAAAAAGTAAAAATGTTTGGAAACAGCTTTATATTGACATTTAATTTTTAAATATGGAAACCCAAGATTTGTTTTTCAGAAAATATTGTCCTTAAGTTATTTCCTTTTTAATTTTTAATTATATCCTATTAATTGATACTTACTAACCAGTTTTTAACTGTCAAAGTCTAAGGATCCTATCAGAAACAAATTATGAAACATACATTCCAATGAACATGTATAAAAATGTTTGCATGAGCATTACATCTTCAAATGAAACAGAAATATGTGTGTATATATCATTGTAGAAGTGTAAATCTAAAAAAGAGGCTGAAATGAGATGGATCCCTTCAAAATTCAGCAGCCAATTGAAAAACATGCTTTTCCATATTAATCCCCACCCCCTTCCAAAGAGTCCCTTTCTAGGTTGCTGTGGAGTCTTCCTTGAATACTTCAATTCAGTTTTTGTGCTTTCCCTAGGGCTCAGGAGGAGTGAAAGCCTATCAGAGAAGCAGGTGAAAGAAGCAAAATCTAAATGCAAAAGCATTGCCCTCCTTCTAACAGATGCCCCCAATCCCAACTCCAAGGGGGTGTTGATGTTTAAGAAGCGCCGGAAGAGGGCCAAGAAATACACCCTCATCAGCTACGGGACTGGCGAGCTTGAGCGAGAGGCAGACGAACAGGAGGAGGAAGGCGACAGGGAGGACACAAGTGAAGCAGCATTTCTTGGCGCCAGCGAATCCGAGGTGGATGAAGAGTTACTGTCTGACATTGACGACACGACCCAAGCTGTGAACTTCGACTGGGATTCTGGACTAGTGGACATTGAAAAGAAAACGAACAGAGGCGACAAGATGGAGATGTTGCCAGACACCACAGGCAAAGGGGCCCTCATGTTTGCCAAGAGGAGGGAGAGGATGGATCAGATCACGGCCCAAAAAGAGGAGGAAAGTGTGGGTGGAATTTCAGGCAGAGAACCGGACGCTGCCCATACAGATGGCCTGAGTACCCTGACGTCTTACCAGAGGAAGGAACAAGAGTCTGTGAGTATGCAGAGCTCTGTGAACAGAAGCTACATGCACATGAACCAGGGCCTGGGTCACCTGCCCCAACAGAACGGCTTCAGCGGGATGTCTGAGACAGCAGAAGCCCAGCGGATGACCCCTATGAACAGAACGGCCAAGCCCTTCCCCGGGTCTGTGAACCAGCCAGCAGCCCCCTTCTCCCCAACCCGCAGTGTGACAAGTCCCACGGCAGACTTTCCTGCGCCTCCGCCATACTCTGCGGTCACCCCTCCACCCGAAGCCTTCTCCAGAGCTGTGCCGAGTCCCATCGCAGGCCCAGCCCTGCCGCCCCCCTGGCCCCAGCCTGCCCCATGGTCCCAGCCAGCCTTTTACGATTCATCTGAACGCATAGCTTCCCGGGACGAAAGGATCGCGGTTCCAGCAAAAAAAACAGGAATCTTGCAGGAGGCCAAAAGAAGAAGCACGACGAAACCCATGTTCACCTTTAAAGAGCCCAAAGTGAGCCCCAATCCTGAACTCTTGTCACTTCTTCAAAATTCAGAAGGCAAACGCAGCACCGGAGCTGGAGGCGATTCCGGTCCTGAAGAGGACTACCTCAGTTTGGGAGCTGAGGCTTGCAATTTTATGCAGAGTGCCTCCGCTAAACAAAAGACCCCACCTCCTGTCGCTCCGAAACCTGCCATCAAGTCTTCCTCCCAGCCCGTCACTCCAGTTTCTCCAGCCTGGTCGCCAGGGGTGGCTCCCACCCAGCCGCCTGCCTTCCCCACGCCCACCCTTTCCCAGGGCGTCGTGGTCTCCTCCATCAAGGTAGCCCAGCCTTCTTACCCTGCTCGGCCCGCCAGTGTCCAGAACGTGGCTGGTCCCTTCAAAGGACCGCAGGTGGCAGTAGCCAGTCAGAATTACTTACCCAAGCCGAACCCTCCCGCAACCATAGTAAACACTGCACACGCCAGTGCGGCGGGACCATCCACGGAGCTTCCAGGAATGAGTGGGAGGGGAGCCCAGCTCTTTGCGAAAAGGCAGTCGAGGATGGAGAAATACGTGGTAGATTCGGAAACGGTACAGGCGCACGCTGCTCGCTCCCAGTCTCCCACTCCATCTCTCCCTGCGAGTTGGAAGTACTCCTCCAATGTCCGAGCTCCGCCTCCCATCGCCTACAATCCCATCCACTCCCCCTCCTACCCACTGGCCGCCATCAAGTCTCAGCCCTCGGCCCCACAGGCCTCCAAAACGAGCAAGAAGAAGGGCAAGAAACCCCTCAATGCTTTGGACGTCATGAAGCACCAGCCTTATCAGCTCAATGCGTCCTTGTTTACTTTCCAGCCTCCAGATGCAAAGGATAGCCTCCCCCAAAAGGCGTCAGTCAAGGTCAATTCAGTGCCAGCCATGAAACAAGCTCTCCCTCCCCGGCCAGTGAGTGCTGGCTCGCCCATCACCGCGCAGGCCTCCTCCGTATACTCCGTCCCAGCCTATAGTTCTCAGCCTGCCTTCTATGCAGAGGCCACCTCCCCAGTCAGCGCATCCCCAGTGCCAGCGGCCCTTTCCACCCCTCCAAAGCAAGAATCAGCCTCAACATCCTATTTTGTGGCACCCAGGCCGAAGTTCTCAGCCAAGAAAAGTGGTGTCACAGTTCAGGTGTGGAAACCATCTGTTGTGCAAGAGTGATCTGGTAGCTGAGGCCGTGTCCATTTTGCTTGAAACAAATTGTTTGCAGTGGTACTTGAGTCCCTCAGAATGCCTAGCAAGTCCTCAACTTACTTAATTTCACATGTCACCTTCCAATCTGGGTCCAAGAAGCCTATTTATAATGAGTTAAAAATCTAACTCAGATTGATTTTAAGTCTATTTATCTCATTTGCACACTAAAAAAATCTGGGAGCATCCCAAATAGACATGTGCCCTTCTGTTAAGTAAGCAGGATACTTAGGATTTATTTGTTAGCCATGAGAAAGATTGATGGGTGTTGTCAAACATCAGGACACAGCCTTTATGTCACACAACTGCTGTGCTTCCATGGTGAAAAGGCTCAAGTGTAGTGAGAATATAACTTGAGATAACTGAGATTTCCTTTTTAAGTAGTGCTTTATCTCTATTATATTAAGGGATAAGAAATTTATTGAGGACAGGTCAGCTCTGCTCTGGCCACCTCAGCCACCTGCTTGATACCCTGGAGAAGCTACCATGGGGATGGTTTTAATGTACATAGTTTAGTGAGGGGGTAAGAAGAAGAAAGGATATAATAATTACTGCGCACTTATTGGATATTAGCTTCCTTGCCAGATATTCTACATATATTAACTCACTTCAGAAGACATCATTAAAATAGACAGGAGAGGACAAGAAGATAATTATCCTTTGTGATTGATTTCCATCCTCCCTCCCCAGTTACTGAGAAACTATTCGAGAACATCCAGTTGCCCATGAAAGCACAAGTTTTCCTTGGCTGAGGCAAGTGGTAGAGTCGAGTATAATGGGGTCACATATAGAAAGGTGAGCAGGTTGCAGACAAAGGTACCTGTGACTATTGCTTTCCTTTGAGAAACCACATGCTTGAGGCATGAAGGTTGGCAATAAAAGGGGTGGATTGTGAAGCAGGAGGAACCCCCTGTGTGTGGGGAAGTTGTAGGATGAGAACACACAATGACTAGAGTCATTTCTGAGTGACCGCACAGATTTTTTTCTTGTGTTTTGCTTTTTGCTTTTCCCCACTGTTCCTTGCAATTCTAGTCTCGCACCTTTGCTTTATTATTTATATTTGATGGACCAGGAGGAGTCAGGCAAGGTTACCTTGTAAATTTGGATTGGCCACAAACCATGCCGTCATCCAGCTGGCTATGAAGTTATTAATGGCATTGACAGTGAACCTGAAGACCTTTCTTATAGCTATTTTAAGTCTGAGTCTGACCAACCATGGAAAGTATTCAACGTGAATGAATGTAGAGAACCACAAAGAATCCTTGACAGCTCCAAGGAAAACCACCTACTCAATGCAGGAGATACTTAGAGACCTCTCATAAAGCTTGTCTGATTTGAAAACACATGGTACCATTTTAATTCTCTGGAAGTATCTGTATTCCTGTTCTTTTTCTGCTGTCACTGTCAACCTACTATATTTTTCGCTATCCTATTAAAATACTACTTTCTTCTTTATCTGTTCAATGTATGTATTTTTTTTTAATCTTCTTTGTGTGAACTCTTCAGACTACGTCATTTCTGTTATTTCTCTTATATCACCCCCAGAACATCTGAAATTCCTTTTTGGGTGAGCATGTTCATGTCTCCATAAAACTCAAAACCTAGGTATTTCTAAAGCTAATGCACAAGAGGGAAATTAAGTCATCTACGGAACAATGGGGCCGATTCTTCTGCTTTTTCTCTAGAAAATCTTCCACGCCTTTGGTGGTGGTTTACCTAGAAGTTAAAACCACAGGATGCAGCTGGACCTCTTATTTGCCTTTTTAGGAAATCAATTAGGAGATTAATACAGGATAAAGGAAAAAGCAATCTATCCATTATATAACACTATTGTGTGCCCTGCTTGTTCCCTGAAGAGGAAGTCCGTCGAAGGCTGTGTATTTTGCATTCTTTTCTATTAGAACAACCAAACAAGTCTTTTTAAGGTGAAGCAGGAAAGGAGATCACTTTTATGAGTTTGCATTCTTAACATAGCATTTAAAGAACGGCATGATTTAGAGGAAAGAGAACGGAATGCACGGTAGTGAATTTGAGATCATCAGTTCAAAAAGTAGCCCAGGATCGTCATAACCCAGAAGTGTTCCCAGTTGTCCTGTGGTCTGTGGCATGTAGGAATGAGAAGTGTGTTTGGTCCACTTCCTGTTGGACAGGTGGCAAGCTGAGCAGGGCCACTGTTTGGAGTGGATGACTAAAGACATAACAACTACCACAACTGGGACTGTCAGGGGATTCCCCCAAAACCAGACATGGAGTCAGAGCTTGCATGACTTGGACTGGGAACTGGTAGTATGTGTCTCACCTTGACCCACAAGGCACCCAGTTGCCTCCCTTGGCCTTGCCTGCCGAATAAGCCATGTAAGGTTTGTGCACCACTTTCTGGTAGGAGCCATAGAAATGATATCAGCATGGGGGGTGGGGCACTTAGAATTCATGACCTCGACTTCACTCCCTCTGGGTGCCATTGAGCTCTGGGTATTGCTGGCTTCGCCATGTGGCAGATGTGGGGCTGGCTGGTTGGCTGCTTGTGGGGTTAGAAGTGGCAGTTTTTGTTTGGTTTTTAGTCCTTTGCCTTTTCCCTTGTTCTTTATTAGCTTAATATCTAAGTCAGGTGCTCGTTGTCTTCACAATAGCAGCAGCCTTTTACTGGGTGCCAGTGTTGAGTTAGCTGCCTTCTGTAGATGAGCCCCAGCAGTCTGCTGCATGGTCTTCAGGCACTGGAATAGAAAATAAGAAGTCGTTGTATTCACTGATTTGCTACAGGTCCTTAGGCAAATTTCTTTCCATGAGTTTCCCCTCAATAATATCTCCAACCTCTCTCCCTGACAGGAATGTTGTGCTACAGTGAGTATGCACATAGAGATTCTAGGAAGAGAGGTGCTGTGTGGATAGAAACAGCATATTCCTCTCAGTCCTATAGGAGGAAGGACTGAGTCACAGAACTGGTAAGATTGGGAATCAGAATATTGTCACATTTATCTTAGAGCATTTACAGTTTTATTTCTAATGTTTCAAAAATAGACACATTCTGTTGTAAGAAGGAAAACATGCTTTCTTCATCCTGACTTGCTGTTGATAATATAAGGCAGGCATTTTTTAGGGAGATGTTTTGTGAGACACGCTTGGCTGACCAGCCTGATGAGTGTGTATAAATGATTGAGCAACAACATATATCTAGCATATTAATAATAGCGTGCATCTCATTTAATCCTCATAAGAAGCAACTCGTTTTAACTGAGGAAAACTGAAAAATGAGTTACAAATAGTTCTTTGAAGTAAGCCCGTTTTCTTCACTGTTCTGGAGCTGCCAGCTCCTTTCAAGAAGTGGGTTCTGAAGACAGCTTGGTGACATCGCTGTCATTGGCAGGAAGTCTAACCTGGCAGCAAGAGACACACCTGAGAAATAGAAAACAAATGATTTGCATCCACAGGGGTATACTAACATGTGGGGCTGTTGTCCTATTTAAAGTTCTGGGTTAAAGAACACACACGGTCATTTTGCTGCCGACTGGCATTTCAAAATCTTGGCTCTGTCTTTTCTAGTGATGGCTCTTGGAGAAGACGCTTGACAGTGTCTGAGTTTGAATTTAATCTTTTGAACAAAAGCTCCTTGCTGGGTATCATTTCATCCACTTATAAATTAGAGAAGCTTCCAGTACCCACATTCTAAGGGTGAGTTCCTGAAACCTGTTTCTGTTTCATGAGTCACCACTGGCTCAGCAGGAAGAGTATTTGAAGTCGTGGCCATCAAACAGAAGTGATTGTTTTCAGAAAAGCTACACGCTTAGAATCCTTCCAGAGGGACATGGTGGGCTGTGTTCTTGCTCTGTCCAAAGATCAGAGTCACTGAGTTTGTTTTAAAAAGTGCTATGGGTTCATGAGAAATATTTGTATATTCTAAGAACCCACATGATATTCCCAGAAATGTTGACCCTTGCTGGGTCTCATGTCCCCTTATCACTGGACCCTGGGGGACACAAAGACTCATGTAACACTTCAACACTGCTGAGTTCATCAACAAGTATTCTGGGAAAAGGCAGAATTGAATTCTTCTGTAGATTTTCCCCCAGGGTTGGCTGAGGCCCGAAGCAAACTAGCAAATTCCCATCGGACCTAAACACCCTACAAAACTGCTCAGAGCCTGTCTCTGATCTCCATGATTTTTTTTTTTAAGTGGAGCATCAGACCAATAAAAAATATTCTTTGGGAGGAGCCCAAAACCAAAACTCTCCTTTCCTTGATATTATCAGGTGTAGTCAATTTTTCAGATTTTGACAGATGAATACATTTCTATGATAGGTGTGTGTATACTACCGTTTGGACTTGGAAATCATAGAACTTACTACTCAAAGGCAATTAATACAAAGAGATTTAATTTAAAAAGTGCTAACTCCTGTCAGACACTTCTCCAATTCCAGATTTTATCGAAGGGCTGCCAGCTAATAAAGTAAATCTCGAGCATGAAGAGAGAAATTTAGGCTTCTATAGGTTCCTATAACTTGAATAATTTTTGGTTGTTGATCCATAAACTTTTAAAGTTTTTTTCTTTTTGATTCCAAATGTAAAACTCATGTAAACCTCTTTTTTACATGTTTCTCACAATTATGTGTGTTTAAACTGGTGAAATATACCTTCAAGGTCCCTAATAAAAATAATCACAAGGACCTACTTTCCTGCCTGCTTTCCTTCCTCAGCTTGATAATAATACTCTAAATAATAATAATACTCAGATGTACCAAGGAGGAATCCTGCCATCACAGACCCTACTTCTTGAGCGTCTGTTACTAATTTTGTTGGTGGGGGAAAAAATTATCAAAGGCTGTAACTGGCTCTGAGTTGAAAAGAAATACACATACTAGAAAAAGTGTTCTTCAAAGTAACTACCAAAATGCAAAGTGTTGTACTTTTGCTTCAGGAGACATTGTTGAAGTCTGGGGAATCTTTGATACCTTGGTTTGGTGGAATGCTCTGTCCTCAAACCCACCTGGAGGCTGAGTCAGGCGTAAAGGTGGGGATGGAGAAAGCCGTGGCTGCCATTCAGATCACCTGGTGAGACCTGAGACAAGGCAGGCCTGAGACAAGGGTAGGGCCTGATGTAGTATGTCTCTGCTCTGTCCACGAACTGTGTTACGTGAGCGCTAACAACAGCAACCAGTACCTGAACACAAACTTTGCGCCCTCAGTGGTGTCCAGTACCTTTCATAAGTTAGCTCTTTCAATCAGTGATGATCCTTGTGAGACAGATACCAGTAGCGTTCTCCACAAACAGATAATAGGTAGGGCACAAGAGGCTGAATAACCTGCCCAAGAAGGTACAGCGTGAGGCGGTAGACCCTGGAATCAGTCTGAACACACACTTTCAGCCAATTACACAGAGATTCCACTTACTCTGTAGGACTGCCTGAGAGGGAAGGTGGTTATTTCCATTTTACAGAGGAGGCAGCGGAAGCCCAGAGAAACTAACCAAGTGTCCAGTGACCACTGCCCTCTGAGGTGCAGGCTAGGGTAGACCTAGCTGTTGGTCTGACATTCCACGCTGGACTCGCCCTAAGACTCCACATAGTATCTCATTAAACCCCTGGGTCCCCCTGCCTGAGACCTAGTCTCTGTGTATCCACCAAAGTGATTCACTGAGGAAGCGAATGTGGCTTTGGCCACATTGTATAACTTTAGGGAGGACCCCACTAGTTTCATAAGATGGCTCATGAAGTCGGAGGCTAATCTATAAGTTGGAAGTGAAAACCAGTCTCTGAGAAAGAAGCATTTATTTTATAAGTAAAACAGATGGACTTGACAGGACAGTGATTTTTATTTTCTTTTTTCATGATGACTAGGTGATACTCATGGGCCTGGAATGGACAGGAATGTAAAAAAAAATAAAGCCAAACCAGAATCTTCACACAAAATAAAAACTCTCCTTGGCCTTATGCCATTCTGACAGGATATAATTCATGGACCTTTTTTACTGCGCAGTGAATCAGCTTGCAATTTGGCTTGCTGCTAAACCAATAACTTGAAACACTTTAATAAGAATAATTCTAAATAGAATAATGCTGAGCGAAGTACAATTTTTCAGTATTTCAAAAAACTGCTCTCTAAAAAACAGTTGTCACTGGAATTTTAGCATTCTAAAATTTAGCATTCTGGAAGTTTCTCCCAGAGGAGGGAGAAACTCATTCCCTCCTGTTTGAGGCAGCAAACCTTTCCTGCTGCAATGTCCTCAAGGGAAGGTTTCTCCACAGCTATTTCTGTATTTCTGTCAGAGTGTCAGCAGGGACATTTTACACCTTAATGTTTTGGTTTTTGGTTTTTTTTTTCCACTAGGTTTTTTTGTTTTGTTTTTTTTTTCCCTCTTAAACTATGTCTCATTGTTATTTTGAAAGCCTCTCCTGAGGAATCTCTCTAATGGATTCTAAACATGGGTTTGAACATTCCCATCACTAGCTTAAAGGAGAGAGAACATGAAGTTCCAAGTGAACTGTGGTTGCCAGTTGTTATATTTGCAGGGAGTTACGGCCTTAGTGGTAGTACAGCCACTATGAAGGCGACTACCATGAGGGCTTCCTATATGCTAGGTGCTGGGGAAAAGCCTAACAAAGATTACAAATATTAACTTTTTCGGTCATCACAACATGACTGAAGCATGAAGCAGGTCCTATTATCCTTCCACTTTACAGATGGGAAAACTGAGGTTCCAAAATATTAAGCAATTTGTCCAAAGTGGTGAGGCCAAGACTGAACAGTCAAACTCCAGAACCGTTCTTTAATCTCAAAGTCACTTAATCTGATCCCAAGAAGACAAAGGTCACAGTGAAAGAATTGTTCCTCAGAGTGGATAAGCTTAACAACTCTCAGAAACAATTCAGAAGTTACCTTAAACCGTACACAAATTAAAGTAAGAAATACTGAAGGACCTTAGTGTTTCACAAGCAAAAGACACTTGTAAATAAGTACAAGTGGGGGAAAACTTTTTTTTTTTCTTCCATTGGCCTATTTGCTTATAACTCAGTGGTAGGGGAAAGATAACATTTTACTCATTACTAATTATGCACAAAAACAAGTGCAAAACCTACTTTCAGCCAACTAGCTGTGCTCATTTTACACCAGGAAAAGGAGTGATGGAAAGTCCTCAAATTTTAGCAACAAATGTGGGAGGAAAAATGGCCTCCCACATTTTTAATAATTAAAAAAGCCAATCATTTCTTAAATGAAACCCACACATGTCTAGGTGAGTAATGCAGCAAATGCTGAGGGTACACAGTCACATTTTGTGCTGGTGAAGAGTGTGGACTCTGGCTACATTGCCTGCATCTGAATCCCAAGACTGCCTCTTCTGGTGGGACACTTTAGACACAATGCAGCCTCTGTGCCTCAGTCCCCCCAGCTGTGAAATGGAGACAATAAGAGGTGTAACCTCCCAAGCTGTTGTGAAGACTAAATGAGTCAACGTGTGTTGTGTGTACAGAGGAGTATTTGGGATGTGGAAAGCATTCCATGCCTTAGCTATTATCACTATTGTAAAGGGCATTCAGAAAACAATAGCTACTATTTCAAGGGGAAAAACACCCACTTAACAAACAGGATTTTTGTGTGCTGTCTGCTGATGTCAGTCCTAGTTTGAGAAAACTAATGCAACTAAAATAGGAAAATCAGAAGCAGGGTCTGCATAAATCTTATCGTGCCATGAGGAATCTATTCCCAGGAGTCTTTTAGAAATATTTGTTTCTTCTCTAGTATTTAGTATCTTACTGAAGCTTTATATATTCCTCTGCATTTGACTTCATCAAATTTTCTTGTGGATATTGTGTTGGTGGTGGTGTCTCACAAAAATGAGACAGGACTGAAAAAGACTGGCCCTACGATTTAAACAATAACAACAAAAAGGAACCATAGCTTTGAGCTTCTATAAAGAAACTGTGTTCAATATGAAATAGATAAGGGTGATAACTGTGTTCAATATGAAATAGATTAGGGTGATATGCTTAATAATCTAAAGAGAACTCTTACTCAGGGGATGTTTATAAATTTAAATATATCCTCCAGTAGAATAGTTGCTGTCTTGAGAAAGGTTTTAATGGGCAGACTGCAGCGTAAAGAGGCCTGCTGCACAGAAAGTAGAGCAGTTGGCACCCCTGTGCCCCAGGCTCCCCCATGCAGCCTGCAGCACTGGGGCTCTGACAGGGCCTGGCTGACCTCTGCAGGCACAGCGGGCAGCTGTCCTCCCTCCTCCCCAGCACTGTCCCAGGACAAAGGGTCAGCAACCTGGCCTTTTTAGAGTAATTGATCCCCTCGCCTGAGAAGCATGATCAGTTTCCAAAAACAGGAAGAGTGAAACCTTGGTCTGAACAGAACAAGCTCCCAGGGCAAGTTGTGAAAATAGTTCTCAGAAGTTGAGTGACTGATGTGGGGTGGGGGAGACATAAAATTCCAGCTACCTTTCATGCTGCCCAGGGAGTTTTCGTGGGTGTTCTGATACTTCTAGAATCCTCCTGAGTCAGAAGCAGAAGTTTTGACTGATCTTAAAGAGGAAAAATGTCAGGTTAAGCTGAGATTCTGAAAATGTTATCTGAGTCCAACATTGCTTTGGTTTTAAATGCAGTTAAATTGATTTAGTTTAGTCTTTCTTTTGTGCCATTTACTTACATTTTTCTTTAAAAAAATAATAAGCAATCATACTTGTTAGTTCTTTCTTTAGTTATATCTCAGATGGATAAAGAAATGATTACAAAACTAAAAATCACTGCTGAATAGGCTAAACTAATATAAATAACATGTCTTACCAATTCTTCCACAATTAGGATTTTTTTAAGTCACACTGGGCCACTGGATTACTTGATAATGCTTATCAAGTGGTGCCAATCATAATTCTTAATATAAACTAAATATGGGCTAAATGGATTGTGAATCCTGCCTTAGTAAATATCCAGTGAAATGTTATGACATCATGGGTGATAGTCTTGAAATAAAGAGCAAAGCCAAATATATAACTTAGAACGTAATGATTTTAATTTTACACTTCAATTCACCAACTAAAAAGGATTTCCTTTATATATAGTGCTTTTGTTTAGCAACAACTTCCTTCATCACCTTCCCACACAGTTTTCCAACAGTGGTTCCCAGGAGCAAATGAAAACCCCGCTTAACCCCACCTTTGGAATTTTGATTTACTAGGTCTGGGTGCAACCCAGGAATTATTTTTGTAATATACACCCTCAGGATTCTGATGCTAAGGCTGTGAACCACACTTTGGAAGAACACTATGCTAACAAACAAAGCACTTAAATCAGCTTTATTTTTTAAAGTCCATGTAGTTTTCCTGTCCACGCAGTCAGCGGCAGCCAGACTTGTAAACTGCACCTGCCTTCCAATGTGCGCTTGCCCCGACCCAAGTGGAATCAACAGGCACTGAAGCCCCATCTTGCCGACTTTTCCCCCAAATGCCCAGCAGAGGGTAGCAAACTCTCTTCTCCATTAGAAAATGCACAGCAGCCATTCCAAAGCTTGCTGCCTGTAATTTGCTTTGAATGTTTTTTTTTTTTTACTTTTAAATAAAAGAATAAAGAAGCCTTAAACTTTGATATTATCTGACCCCCTGCTTCTAATCAAGACTGAGAATAAATATTTCTAGGAATAGCATGATACAATTTTATCATGTAATGAAGGGAATTATCCATCTTTCCTGGGCTGCTTTTTCTTACCTCTGGGGAAAGGGGTTGTATGACTACCCTTGGCAGTAGGGCTGGAGAATGTTGTTATCTCCAATGTCCTACTAATAACTAACTTAAATCTTTCTGGCAGGTATCAAAACATTCTTATTTTGAGATCTAGGCTAAAGGAGAATTTTGAAGTACTTTGAATGCTAATCAGTTTTTTTGGTTTTAATGAAAACAATACGATTGTGAAATTTTCAACACTACAGAGAAATTAGGGATTCCCGGGAAAGATCCCAATGTTTTTGTTTAATTTTAACATTAAGATGAACAAAGAGCATGGTGGATTGACAAAATTCAAGACCAGGAGATGCTGCTTTTTAGAAGCAGGAGCTGGACAAAGGAACAGGTAGACCTGCTGAGTAGCTGCTTTGATCCCAGCAAGGGTATTGTTTGCAGACCTTTGACGCACTCCAGTTTATTTCTAAAACAAAAAGGAGGGTAAAGTGCCTGGAAGTTCTGTAATATGAGATATATGTTTGTGCCTTTACCACTGGGAGGAGAAAGACAAATAGAAGATAGGAGTGCTGGATATTTGAGGAACTGTGATGTGGGTAAGAGAGTAAAGGTCTCTTTTGGAGAAGAAAGAAAAAAGACCAAATGAATGCAAGAGACAGAAAATTTTGGTTCAACTTAAGAAAACGTCAAGAGCTTGTCAGAGATGGAGAAGGAACTAACCACACACAGACTCTGACATGAAATGTGTGAAATGCTTTAATAAATGCATTTTATTTAGTTGTCACTACCTTATTTAGTTTGGAGACTATGCTCATTTCTTTTTTCTATTTTTTATTTTTTGAGATTTTATTTATTTTTGCAGAGAAGAATTGGGTTGTAAGTCAGAGGTGTGGGGGGAGGGGGCGAAAGGATTCACCAGAGACAAGAGTGTGGAGCAGAATAGGCAGATCTACTGAAATACACTGCTGAGGGGAGCAGCGGTGAGACAGGAGAGAGAGAGGTCTGCTGTGCCATATGTGGGTCAGCTCCCTGGTCGGGATCGAACTCAGGCCATAGTGGTAGGTAGTGCCGAGACTCAACCTTTATTCCACCAGGGAGGCCACTCATTTCCTTTTAATTGATACAGAAACTGAAGTTCAGAGAAGTTAAGAAAATTGCCCAAAGTTACCCAGCAAGTAAGGAAGCAGACCCCCCAGGGAACCAATTGACCTGTTTTCATATCTGGTGCTTTTCCCCCTGTGGTAACTATCAGGTGTGTTTTATGCAGAACTTATATGCCTCATGAAAGCTGGACTGCACGATCTCCGAAATCCCTTCTAAGATTTTATAATTCTCTACATAAATAGCTCTGAAGGAAGCATTTGGATTTTTACATTTTGTAAGTATGTTAATGTGGCTCAATACTTTAAAAAAGCAGCTTAAGAAACCTAACATAAGATAAAATTTACTACCACTTTAATTCTAGGAGATTTGAAAGAAAAAACATCTTAAAGTGAAATATATTACTTTTCCGGTGCAAGGAGAAGCAAAAGCTGATGATACATTTTTTTTACCTTGAAGCCCTGGCTAGGACACCCATATTTTCTTTCCAGTGCCTGTAAACTGACTATAATTTCTCACAACTTCTCAAGACAAACAGATACCTCCTGAGAATGGGGAGCGTACTGAATCTCAGAAGGACCTCTATCCTAGGGCAGCTCTTAGGTGCTCTGGAGTAAGGTAAGAAAGGGGCCCCAATGCAGGAAACCTGAATTTCCTGTACCCTTAGCTTATGCTTTTACAAACCAAGTCACCAGAATTCCTTCCACTGCTGCTAAAATGCATGTGTTCCATTCTATGAAATCATTTCAAATATATCCGAATCTATCTGAAAGCAATCTTTACTAATGAAGACCCATTTAATGTTTAACTTCTATTTTTTTTAAGATTTATTTGTCCATACAAGAACCGGGGTACAGGCCAGAGGCATGGGAGGTGAGAGGATTCACCAGAGACAGAGGGGGGAACAGAACAGGCAGATTGACCGAAATACACTGCTGAGGGGAGCAGCAGGCGAGTCAGGAGAGGTCTGCTGCGCCATGTGGATTGTTCCATGGCCAGCTGGGGATCTAACTTGTGCTGCAGTGGCTGCGGACAGCTCCACAGGTTGCATCTTGACCCGTTGTGCCACCAGGGAGGGCCCAATGTTTATCTTCTTATGTGCGCCATTCAGCCTCTATTTCTGTTGACATTTTGTTTTGGTTTAAACTTTGGTAATTATCTACCTAGCACCATCAGCCATGCTCAGATTTATCATCCTGTCTTGTAAGTTGGCCATACATGTTTCATTGTTAGTTTATCATGGGGATGCACTCTTGTCAGGCTTCATTTTGTCTGATTTAAACTATTTTTTGCCAAAAATGCACTGGTCTAGGCTGACATGAATTTAGCAACTAGTTGTAGCACAAAGTTGCATTTCATCTGGGAATATCTGATCCAGTATGATAAACTGTAGTTGATCTCCCTCCTCCCATCTCCTTTTAAGTCTTTGGGTGGAAGATTTGGGAGATAACTTTCCTCCCAGACTAAACACAGACAATAGCTTTAGTCTCAGTCACTGCCAGTGTTTGATTCTAGGTGGTCAATGATCGCTGATCTGCTAATTCCATTTTGAAAAGAACTTAATCTATGTTAGACTTACCGAGATTGAATTAGGCAAGTCTAAGAATAAAGACAGAACTGGGGAACACCTGCATACCATTATCAGAATGTATCCTATTTAAGAAACAGACCAAAACCGATTTAAGAACTTTTTGACTCTTATAAGTTGGGAATATTTTTACAATAAACTCTAAGAAGTTTTTCCCATCCCTTCCCCGTCATTAAAAGAAAATAAAGGAAGAGTTATTCAAGAACTTCACACATAAATATTACCGACATATATCTTCTTCTCCAGCTCTCAAATGTATATTTATGAAGGCCTAGATATTTTGGTACCTCCAGAAGACTATCTTTTATTTTAAACAACCCAGTAACTCGGAAGGTTGTCTTAGAGTTTGTGGCTCATTTACAAGGCTTTTGTTAATTTGTATACCATTTGCATGAGTTGATACTGAAAGTGAAAAAAATTGTTTAGCAATGGAATTGTCAGTATTTCCTGAACATCATGTCAAAATGAAGGTGAACTTGAAAATGGGGAGTCGCCAGAGAGATAATAAGAAATGAGAGCTTTTAAGTGAATGTGTGGCACATGTAGCAAAATTTGCTGTCCTAACATGCAATGTTATGAGTGGATGATTATATATTGTGTTTTTTCAGTGAATGCATTAAGAAAGCCCTGCCAATAGGAAAAAAACTGTAATCAAACAGCTAATGCCAAAGGCAAAATTAAACACTTGATCTCTAATTTAAAAAGTTTCATAAGTAGACAAGCATACTAGTATTTCAAGAGACATCCCCTTGAGCCACTAATGACAGGCCTCAGATACACTGGGATTAGCACTTCTTTCTCTTTTTGTGGAAACTATTCCTTTCTACTGTTGGCTGAATGTCAAAACTTACATTTAAATGGGCTTATTTTGCTCCGAACCTCTAGCTACTCAAGGCCTATCGAGAGCATTCATTTATAGAGTTTGACTTGTGCAGGTTTGATTAGAATTCAGCCTTGAAGGCAGTGACCGAGGTCAGTGTTCAAATCCATGGGGCTGGTCTAAAAGGAAAGCCCTTCTTTCTAAGACCTCAGCCTCATTTTGGAGGCCCCCACTTCCTCGGGAGGGTAGTGACTTCTGGAATCTTTCTTCCTCTGGTTGTTGGAATGCAGGGTGATGCTCCCCTTTTGTTCCTGTAAACCCAGGGACAACAGCAGGAGGAAGAAGGGGTCCCTGCTGGACTGGGTGCCCGGACACCTGCCTCTGACTCGGGTGTCTTGTCCACACCTGGGCAAATGAGATTACTATTTTCAAGTAAAAATAGTGCTTCCTCTTTTGAAGAAATTTACCTGGGGCACTTCTGATAAAAGATGGTCCCAGGTTTTCCATTTGTGTTTTCAAAGCATGTGATCATAACTATCACTTTATAGTCTGCTTTAATCTATTTTTCCCTTATAGTGGTATTTTATTGATGCCAGCAAGACAGACATCCCTTTCAAAACCCCACCGTATCCAATGGTGTTCCTGTGTCTCTGAAATAAAAATACATGCATGAAATGTTTGTGGAATGATTATGAAATGAGTATGCTCTTGAACAAAAAAGAAATTATTAGTTAAAATCTACCACTTGGACCAGAGAGATGTGGTAAGGGAATTAAGCAAAAATGTTTTTGTACTCTGTGCTTAAGAAAACAAGTTGTCAGCACCTTCCCAGATGAACTTACATATATTTTTATTCCTAATTTTATACCTCACTCTGGGGAGGGGCTTGTTTTTAGCAAAGGAAACATAGTGTGATTTGTCAGTAAATCTTATATTCCCCAAAGAACAGTAGGTTAAACTTTCCCCTAGGGCCCAGGGTATTAATTAAGTGTTCCATTTACTAGGCTTACTTAGTAACATAATGGACAAAAAACAGAAAGATCAAGTAAGTCACTTTCTTCATACCGTATGCTCTGAATCCTTGAGAAATAATGTTGGCACCTGGCAGGTAGTTCTTGATGTATCTCTGTCACTGACATTCATCATTTTCATAAGGTTTTAAATCAGTGTTTTCATAGAGGATCATTTAAAACATGCCAATGGGAAATTGGAACAATATTATCATGCAAAGAGTCTGTCAAGGCTGTTAACTGGTGCTGCACACATTTCTGTTACATTGCTAAATATACTTTAAGTGTTTTTAATAATTCTATACATACCTTATAATTCCAATAAGATATTTAAGGTGTTGATTTTATCTTAATAATGAAGATTTTCCTTTATTAAGTGCTCACTATGTGTTTAAGTAAGGTTTTTGCCGAAGAAAACTTAAAATGGCAATTCTAGCTATTTAAATAGAACACAGACTATATTAATAAGAGTTTTCCTAGGGTCTAATTTTTAGAGCGGTGAACTTCTTTTTCCAGGATAAAAGAAGATGAGAGGGTAAACATTACTGTGTCATATGTTATTTCCACTGACAATTAATGCTTTAAAATATATCATTTAGATAATTTATTATTTATAACTTTAATTCTTAGATTTCCCTGTAAGATTTCGGTGTCTCCGTTTTCTTGTTTGGAAGGTGGGTGCTATAGGGGTGCTGAGAGTACTGGGGACTGTGAAGGTATAAAGATTCTCTACCTTTGTTATGGTCAGCATTGCTTCTGAGGTGACAGCAATCGCTGAAGCACAGGCTCAGATTTCTCCTTAACATCAGTCTTCATGACCTTAAGTTGGGTGTAGTTCTTTTTGTTCTTTTGTAATAGAAGGTTATAAAAGACCAAGACGTCTACCTTTGGACCCTGCCAGGCTGGTAGGAGATGAGGTCAGTGCGATGTTCCTGGCAGCCCAGCTGCCTGGGCCTGGCGGCTGGCACAGCACTATCTCCGGCGTGTGGTGCTAATGCCACTTCAAAGGCAAGACTCACTCCTATTTTTATCCTGGGAAGGCAGCCTGTGCAGTTGCCTCTTGAACAAAAGGTTCTGCCAGGTCTCTGATACCTCACAGACTCCTCACAATAAGGAGAACCACAACCATTTGTTTGGCTGCGTGGCATTAGATTTATAAATGCCACCTCTGCTCTGCCTATGAGCTTGAAACAGGAGCCAGCATTATTACCACCACCACCACCACCACCCCCCCCACCGCCTGCGAGGGTAAGGCTGGAGGAGCTGGAATTGCGCGGGTAACGGAGGGTGATGTCAAGCTCACGTCCTTTCCACAGAACTCGCTGGCTTCCACAGTCATTCAGAACCCCTGCTCTTTCTCACAAAGGGGTTTCCTTCAGGTGTAAAATAAAACTTGGTTTAAAAATTTTTTAGAACACAAAATTTAATCTGGAAGTTAATCTAAACCAATTAAGGTGAATGAAGTCAGTGGTAGAGTCAGAAGGAGAAGCTCTGGTTCCAAAGCTCATCTCTTATTTTGATGTCTGAGGATGTTTATTGCATTCATGGAACCATTTTAGTGACTGGTGATTGATGACTCTTCTATTCAGTAATATACCTTTTCAGAACTCCACTTAGGTAGGAGTTTGAAGGAACTGAAGCTTTACTTTAAGCTGGCAGGTCCTAGGAATATGAGAAAATAACTTTTATGAAGAGGCTAGAACAAAATTGACCTCCTTAGTCCCCTGACTTGTTTATGTCT